AGTGATACAAAAATATATGCAAAGGCACAAAATCCAATAGGTGCAGAATTTTTTTTAGGTCAATTTCAACAGGAATAGAGAATACTACTAAACTTATAAATACCAGAGAAAGGCCCATACTTAACCTGTATTTACATATTTTTCAGAGGAAACTGATCTATACCAAAGATTAATAACTGGCTACGTGAAAAACCGTCAACATTTGATTTCATACAGAAGTCTGGATTTCTTTTTTTCTGTTTTAAAAAAGTTTTTATTATGGAAATGTTAAAAAATATACCTATCATCCAGTGTCAACAACCATCAACCCATCTAGATTTGAGTTTGCAACCTTGATTTAGGAATGCTAAATAAAGATATCATCTAAATCACTTTTGTTGTATTTTGGGTCCACAATCTGGCAAGACAGAAACTCTCTTCATCTATACTTTCCAATCCCTGAATAGTATACAGCAGGCATACTGGATGTTCTGCCTAAGAAGCTACTAGACTTCAGTGGCAGCTGTTTTCAAACTTGGTTATGTTGGTTATATTTATTACCGTAATGACATAGAGAACTATTCTGCAAGTCAATAAAATATGAGGTAAAAAGATAATTATTTCTATGAAACCTAAGTTGATATTTATAAAATAACTCAAGCAAATCATGCCAAATAAATGCCCTCAAATTTGGCAGGCAAGATGATCATAAAAGACTGAGACTAGATTGCCTCACAAATTCTTTAACCACTTCAAAGAAATGGAAACAAAAGTTGGTGAAAGATGCTTTATGAGCATCATCTATTAGTTTATGCAAGAAAAGCTTTTATATGGCCTTTCTCACTGATCTTATAACTACTACCAACTGACTAGGTGGGAATACACAAGTAAGTACTTGTTGCCCACCAAGGCGATCAGATAGCTAGCTAATAATGCAAATGAAGTACATGGTACCCTTATAGGGGTAAGACCATGCAAATAAGGTATATGGAACCCTAACGAGAGATTGGTTAGTTTTGCCATCCACTAGGCTTAAAAGGGGAGATCTGGTGGTGTAGTGCCTAAGGCACTGGACTGCTAACCAGAAGGCTGGTGGTTCAAACCCACCAGCTACTCCTCGGACTATTGGGCAATCTACTTCCATAGAGATACTGCCTTGGAAACCCAAAGGGGGTAACTATGAGTCGGATCCGACTCGATAGCAATGAGTCTGGTGGGGGGGACCTCACTACCACCAAGAAGAACAGACAGGAGTAGAGCATGTCCTATGGGCCCAGAGTCCCTGTGCTGAGAACCTCCTAGATCCAGCAGACAGAAAGATCTGAAACACCAAAGACAGTGAGAAATGTTAGTAGCAGAACCCGGAGACTGACTTGAGACAGCATTAGTGGGCTTCCCAGCCCACTGAGCAAGGTGGTTAGAGTGAGTGTGCTAGCCTACAGAGTGAAAGTCCTAGGACTTTTGGATAGAGACTTACTGGTGGAGTGGGGTGCCTCTGGGCACTTATTGGTGGAGCTAGAAAACTTTACAACATTTGCCTAACTAGGACAGAGGCCAGGCAAGGACCAGAGAGAGGCCTTCCTACAGGCACAAAGGCTGTCTTGATTGAGGAATTGTATCCTGAGTTATTCCTGTTTCTGAATTATAAACTGTTACTTCCCTAATAAACCTCCTAACTGTGAGTATGACCTATGAATTTTTTGCAGCCATTCCAATGTATTACTGAACCCAGCAGAAAAGTAGAGAGGACTATGGAAAGGATGGCAAGTGTCAGAATTGGTTTTTTGAAAAAAAAAAAAAAGTTGGAGGGGGGGAAGTACGTCTGACCTCCACCTCACAGCAATCAGCCTTGGGTTGCTGATGCTGATGATTCTGCTTCTTGCCTGTGAAGTTAGACAAGGAAGTCTCATACCACCCCTACATGCATTACACACTCTCAAAGCAAAGGCCCTTAACACATATCAGAAGTATTTGCAAATTAATATACATTTATATTTACACTGAAATGTTTGAAGTATTTTTTTCTTTTCTGAATAAAAGACTAACTACCTACCAGGTGTAAGGCCTTCTTGGTATAGTGACTTGACCTAGTTAACCTGCAGGATTAAAATCTGCCACACGAAGTAAAGCTCCTACATATCAAAACTAAGAAAAGTAGTGGCACAAGTATGTATCTACCCTTCTTCCTATATCCACTAGAACAAGCTTATCTACCTTTCTCTTCATTATAAATGCTGCTGATTCCAAATCATAGCAACCCTACAGAACAGAGTAAAACTGCCCAATAGGCATAAATATTCCTAGGCTATAATATTTATGGGAGCAAACTGCCAGTCTTTTCTCCTGAGAACACCTGGTAGGTTCAAACCACCAATCTTCTGGTTAGCAGCTGAGCCTGTAACCATTTCACTACCTTATCTCCTTATAAAGGGAGAAACAAAAGTCAGGACGAAGGAAGGAAATAGAAGGTAGGGAGAGGAATAAAAATGCAACATTAATCTGTTTTCAGAAGCACAAGTCTCTAGATACTATCCAATTATCCTGACAACCAAATATTTATTTATTTTTATCATTAAAGATTCATCAAATTTAATTTGTTGCAATAACACCTTTAGACAGCTAATTAAAAATTCCATTTAACTGGAAAAAGCAAAACAAATGAAGCACACTAGGACTAAAGGGATTCAAACTTACCAGGTCCCACTGGCATCATCCCAGGAGGAGGAGGGCCCATCATCGGCATCATGGGGGGGCCCCCCATGTGGGGTGCTGGCATCATACCAGGGCGAGGAGGACCCGCTAAAATAAGAATGGAGCTTAGGGTTAAAGTATGCTTATAAATTGACATTTTACTCTTCTTAATGAAATACTGGGATTTCAAAAACTGGTTCAAATTATTTAACAGTAAGTTTCTCACGGATTCTTTATAAGAGTAGATCTACAAAAATTAGCATGTTACAAACCCTAGTTACTTTATGACTAAAAAAGTAAGCAAGTCTGACAGAAGTATAAAATGAAGTCAGGTTCCCAGGTTAAAAAAAATTCCAAGTAATTTTGATTAACCACCACCACCAAAACAGGACTGCACCTTTTATAGTTGTAGAGCTCCTGACAGAAAGCTAATGAACTTAAGCCACAAGTACCTAATTTTAGGTCTTTTTTTTTTTAAAAAAATTAAAACCTAGATTTGAAAGATTCTTTGGAAACAGAGAAGCTTATGTGCAGATCTAGATAGTCCTGATAGTGTCATTTATTAAAAATAATGGAATGAGTGCCAACCATTGGGGTGAGTGAAGAGAGAAAGGTGACTTGGGGAGCTGGTTGGAGTGAGGTCTGACCAGGTCCAGGATTGTGGTCACTCATGAAGGGCTTTACAAGTCACTAGTTGTCTACCTGCACTGCTGCTGTTGTTAGCTACTGTCGAATCAGCGACCCCAAGTAAAATAAACATCAGACCACTGTGATCCACTGGGTTTTCACTGGCTGATTTTTCAGAAATAGACCAGTAGCCTTTGTCCTACCCTGTCTTAGTCTAGAATCTCTGCTAAAACCTGTTTGGAATTACAGCAATACACAAGCCTCCACAGACAAGTAGTGGCTGTGCTTGAGAGGCACTGTTCAGGAATCAAACCCAGGTCTCCCGTATAGAAGGCAAGAACTCTACTACTGAACCACCACTACCCCCTCCTACCTGCATTATTATTATTAGTTGCTATTGAGCAAGCCTATTCCAACTCAAACAAGTGTGCAGTGTAGGAGTGCTCCATAGGGCTTTCAAGGCTATGAATTTTGGAAGCAAACTGCCTGTCTAGAACTCTAAGGCACTTCTGAGTGGTGTTCAAACTGCCAACCTTTGGGCCAGTAGTCAAGTACTTAACCATATGCAGCAACCTGGGACCTCTCACCCACATTAAAAGCCAAAACCAAACCCACTGCTATCAAGCCGATTCTGACTCACAGCGACCCCCACCGGGTTTCCAAAGCAGTAAATCTTTATGGAAGTAGAGTGTCCCATCTTCCTTCCGTGGAGCAGCTGGTAAGTTTGAACCACCAACCTTCTGGTTAACAGGCAAATGCCTTCCTCACTGTGCCACAAGTGCCACAAACAGCCTAATGCGCTTATACTCATGATTACTAAGTCTGTGAGTATAACATGAATACTGAGTTTAGGTCTCTGAGTTGAATTCCAATCTGAACCTTTTCAGGAGAGCCAAAGAACTTATAGCCTAGTTACTCAATCTCCTCCTTTGTCATACATAAATAACAAACATTCCCAGAAAGCAGAGGCCTTAGAGTCTATCTACTTTCAACTATCCAATTCTTGTCCTTCACAAACTATGTATGTTGGTATTGTTGTTGTTGTTGTTATGTGCCATCAAGTCAGACCCAACTCATAGCAACCCCTCCTTGGGTTTCCGAGGCAGTATCACTACGGAAGTAGATTGCCCCATCTTCCTTCCGAGGAGTGGCTGATGGGTTTGAACCGCCAGCCTTCTGGTTAGCAGTCAAGTGCCTTAGGCACTATGCTACCAGAGCTCCCATGTTGGTATTAGGTGAGTTAAAAAATAAAGGGTGAGATTGAGGAGTTTGTCAGTGATTTCAATCATCCAAGTAAGTTCATTAAATAATGTAATAACATTACATAATTTAATGTACCTAGAAATACTTATCTCATATATTAGCTCATTTAATGACAGATGCACCTGCTCTTTCCCTTTGAATCTGTCTCAAACCCATGCATAGGATACAAATATGACATTCTAACAATGATGCGATCAGAATTATAAAGCTTTCCCAGAAACTGTACGTCTATGATTGTTTTCTATTACTATCTATGTATTATTAATCCAATGAGCATTTGAAAGCCAACTGTGAAATAATTTAAAATAATCTTAAAATAAAGAACTTAAAACTTACGGAGACTGGGGGGAGGCGGGATCATTGCCCCTGCTGGAGGAGGAGCAGAGAATGGAGTAGGAGGTATCTTTCCTTGCTGGAATGCAGCCGCTTTAGAAATGTAGGGGAGAGAAAAAAGTAACAGTAATAAATAAGAATTCAACAACGCATTTACTAAAATAACTACTTTCTTTTAAATGTTTAATGGTTCTGAATTATTTCACTTTAACAAGTATTCATCTAGTTACTACATCATGACCTCTATGGTTTTTAAACCAACCTTACATACTCTCCAGCTAAAATGGCAATTAATTGGTTTAGTCATTTGGGTTTTATTATTGTTATTTAACTAGTATTTCTATGGCTTAATTAACTATGGGAAATTGGAGTAAATATGTCCTATCTATCAATTTCTTTTACTGCTGAAAAGTAGTCATATTTAATCTGTACATATGGTTCATAACAGTTTTGGCTTTCCTACTTTTGTTAGAAAAATGTGTGATACATGCCCGAAGACCAAGCTTTATTAAACTTCTTACACTTCTAGATACGTTGCACTGGTTCAAAACAATATGGGATTTTGGTTTACCAGTTCTGAAATTAATGCACTGAGCTAGGAGATGTGGAATTAACAAAGATGCCCTGGAGAAGATTATGATCTTAAAAGAAAAGTCCAATACAATCACTTTTAAATTTCTTTCAGATAATATGAGGCACAAACGAAAGTTATGTAGAAACAATACAACCTCACATTTGGCTTTAGAAGGGAGTCACAGATAGATACTAAAATATACCCTCCCAAAGTCTATTCCTGAACCTCGACCCTTCCCAATTCAATGCTGTTTAAAAGCCTGGGCATATCCCATTCTACTCCAAAACTAGTACAAAGGAAATCAAATGACTCAGGTCAATCATTGACAATTCATGAGAACCAGATCCAAAAAGAATGACTTAGAGTGGAGATTTATGAGTATTATTCATTTGCCTCTGAATAGAGCCTGTGCCTGCTATACGGTCCATTAAGGGCCTTCTCCAATCAAAAAGATACCTCTCACACCCTGTGTAGGAGGACAGTTGGTAAAGACTAAAAGGGAAGAGGCTAAACCGCTATCTCAGTAGCAGACTCAATGTCAACATAATCATGGCCATTATAGGGTGTGCCCCTGAGGGCTCACCTCTTTGCTTCCAAAAGTCCTTCATTAAAAACATTTATACATCCTAAATTATTTTGCTGCATATGGAAAATAAGTAAGAGAATGTAATACTAACCTTTTAATGCCAAAAAATTTCTAATATCTTTTAAATGGGGGGAAAAAAAAAAAGATTACATCATAATTCATCTTTGCAAACAAATGGGATATCTGAGATTTGTTCCATAATAATCTACGAGGGGAGAGGAAGTAGCTGAAGGTATTCAGTGGTTCTCAACTGGGGCAATTTCCCCCCCTGGGGGCACTGGACAATGCCTGGAGACATTTTTGGTTGTCACAACTGGAGTTTGCTACTGGCATCTACTGGGTAGAAGCCAGAAATGCTGCTAAACGTCCTGCAATGCACAGGACAGCCCCCCAAGCCCAAACAAAGAACTTAATGGTCCAAAATGTCAATAGTGCCAATGTTGAGAACCTTGGCATAAACAGAACAAGACTGACCATGAGTTGGTAATTGTTGCAGCTGGGTGATGGGGGAGAAGGGGGATCCTTTATTAAATTTCCTTCTACTTTGAAATTTTTCTTAATAAGTAGTTCTAGTTTTTAAAAATCAAACCACAAAGTCTATATTTGCCTGCCAACTCTGGGTACAATGAATGATTCAGAAAGACCATGTTTCAAATATATCAGGATGATCAAAAGTAGAAATGCAACATCTTCCTGTCTTGGACCCAACTAGCCTAAACAACAAAAATTTTCCTAATTAACAAAGAGTATGGCATGTGCAACAGAGGTGCAAAACATTTCCAGACTATTTTGACATTATCAGTTACTTTCCTTCTGACCAGTTCACTTTGTCAGGTCTACAAGGAATAAGAAACTCAAGGGAAGTCTCTCAAACTACTTAGACAGTACTATAATCCTACGCCATGGCTTTTCCGGTTATAATAGGAAAATGGTTCTTAAAACTATGGGTCACTACACAGAGTTTGATACAAATTTGCTACAAACTTTGGTCCATGTCTATTAAGCAAATATTAGGCAAGGTGATTCTTTTCTGCCTTGACTCTCAGCTTAACCAGTATCTGATTTTCTCTATCCTCAGTAATTAATTTCAACGTGTTTCTATATCCCTGGGAAACCAATGACCTTCTACTTCTTTCATTTAACATGTCCAAATGCCCCCATTTATCATTCAGAATGAGCTGCTTCTGTGAAAAACAACAGAGCAGCAGAGAAGAGAAAGAATTGGACCATTGTTCCCTAACACAACAGAAGACTGAAACGTACTTGTTTTGTCAATCAGGCTCTGAGCCTGCTCTTCCATCCATTTCTGATAGTAGTCTTTCACATTCTCTTTGTGTTTCCTACCACTGCAATGTGTCTTTCTCACAGATGGCTGTAAAACAAAAAGGTCATGTAAGTCACATAAACAAATGTGCAAAAGTAGACATTTCATAAAGCTTCATCTTAATAAAGGTAGCCTGGCTAGAACTACACTGCTAAAGCATCACTTATAAATATTATCTGACAGCGTATTGTGCTAATTTATCTATTACATTTATTATCTAGACCAGGGGTCAGCAAACTACCACCTCTAGGTCTGCTGCCATTTTTAAAATAAAGAATTTTACTGGAACACAGTCAGATTCATTCATTTATGTATTGTCTATGGTTTTTGCACTACAATGGAAAAGTTGAATAATTGCCACAGACACTGTATGGTCTGCAAATCACAAATATTTACAATCTGGCACCTTAAGGAAAAGTTTGATAACCCTTAATCTAGACCAAAATGCTATTTTAATGCCTTTTCTTAAGTTATTCCTTGGCAAAATAGTATAATCTACACACATATAAACAACACAGTTTATGAGACTATATGTTCTTTTAAATAACTATGGGTCTAGAGCACAGACAATACAAACCACCTACAGACCTTTGTCTCTAGCCCAACAGTCTTACTATTCTTTTTTTAAAAACAGTTTTCCTGAGGTATAATTGGCATATGCTAAACACCATATATTTAACATTTTAAGTTAACATTTACTGAACACTTACTATACACCAGGCACCATGCTATGTACTTTACAAGCACTGGCTCAGTTAATCTTAATAAAAATCATTTGTGTATGGTACAAGGAAATGAAGTTGTTGTTATGTGCCGTCAAATTGGCCCCGACTCATAGCGATCCCTCCTTGGGTTTCTGAGGCAGTATCACTACGTAAGTAGATTGTCCCATCTTCCTTCCGAGGAGTGGCTGGTAGGTTTGAACCGCCAGCCTTCTAGTTAGCAGTCAAGTGCCTTAGGCTCTAGGCTACCAGAGCTCCCAATGAAATAATACCCAAAAATAAAAAGGAATGTTATAACTGGTACATGCAACAACATGGATGAATCTAAAAACATGTGAGCAAAACACAGACACACACAGAGAGTAAGGTTCTACTCGTACAAAGTTCTAAAACCAGATCAGTTGTTGCCAAAGGTGCAGGGGACTAACTACAAAGAGGCATAAGGGAACTTTCTAGAGTGATAGAAATAGTCTTTATGATGCTGTATACAGAATTTGTAACCAATTGACAAGTTATCAAACTATACAGGTAGTCCCAGACTTATGACACAGTTCCATTCCTCAATCCTGATGTAAATTGAATGCCTTTTTTTTCTTCCCCTGTTGTTGTTGTTTGCCGTCGAGTCAGCCCTGACTCATAGTGACCCCTCCTTGGGTTTCCGAGGCAGTATCACTACGGAAGTAGATTGCCCAACCTTCCTTCCGAGGAGTGGCTGGTGGGTTTGAACCGCCAGCCTTCTGGTGAGCAGTCAAGTGCCTTAGGCACTATGCTACCAGAGCTCCCTTTTCCTCCCCTAGTTTTCATTATTACCACCTTTTATTGTCAATATCTTTATAAATCCAATTTTTATTGTATTGTAAGTATGGTTCACCCTAATCGAAACACTTGTAAGGTGAAGACTACTTGTACACTTAAAATGTAGGCATTTAATTGAATGTAAATTATAATTCAATAAAAATTGACCCAAAAATATCACAAGGTCATTATATTCTATTTACAGAAAAGGGAACTGAGGCCTAAAGAGGTAAGGCCCTTGCCTCAAAACACATAACTAGTAAGTGATAAAGCAAGGCCTAGAAACCAGATCTCCAGCAGATGCTCCTCCTGGCTACCTAACTATACTTACTCTTCACATGGTTACTTCCACTGCAGCTAAATAAAACTAATGTCATGTGGGCAGAGAGATTCTTTTCACAGTCTTCATTTCAAAATGTTGCTCCTTGCCTTTCAAACCACTGTTGACATTAACATAATAAGAATATCTTATGGCTAATGATAAAATCACGCCTAAGGGACCAACAAACATCCAAAAGTTACAAAACTGAGCATTATTTTATTTTACATTTCAAGTCCTCCTCCAAGGAACTGCTTCCATCACTGTGGAAATGTTCTACTATTTTTTCAAGCTACCACCTTAGAACAATTATATTTCTACTATGTTTGTTGCAAAGAGATAATTCTTATAAAAGGATACTTACTTATTCTCTGAATTCTGATACTATCAAGATGATGAAAGGTATATGACAATAGAGTGCCCAAAAAGGGCAAAGACTAACCCCCTTACTGACACTTTCAGAAAATTCTGACTGAGAATATGAACTACAGAGAGTTAGGGATTTAAAAAAAAAAGATTGGAGAGCTATAGGCAAGGATGGACTAGGTCCTACCAATGCCAATTTATTGGAGGGGACTCCTCCAGAAAATCTCTAATAATATTCAGAACTATTATTTCTTCAAAAGCAATCACGTACATACATAGACAAATCTATTAACTCTAAACTACATCTGACCACGTGTTAGAATTCCAAAGGAAGTGACATCAAAGAAATTGTTGGCTAGGTTCTTATAGCTACAATTCAAGATGATTAAGAGTTTTGAGTTACTGAGGTTTCTTAAGAGGCAGAAATGTATATAATTGCAGTTTCAAAAGTGTGGTCCATAGATACCTAAAGGTCTCTAATCCCTTTCATGGGTCTGAAATGTTAAACCATTTTCATAACAAGACATTACTTTCCTTTTCCACTGTACCGATATTTGTAGTGATGATGCCAAACTCCTGGCAGTGACACCCTAACATACTAGTGGCCACTGTATTTCTTCCTGCCGTGCACTCCTGGGGCGGGGACTCAGTTTCACCAAGACTGTCCTTGATGAAGCAATGAAACTATTAATTTTATTAAATCTCAGCCCCCAAGTTCATGTCTTTTAAATTTTCTGACAGGTGACAAAATGGGAAGCACACACAAAGCACTTCTGCTGCCTGCCAAAAATATGATGGTTATTTCAAGGAAAAGCAGGCATACAATTGTTCAAGTTGTGATCTCTACCAGCTGTCTCTTTGAAGAAACTCCATTTTTATTTATTTTATTTTTTCCTGTATCTGAAGAAACACCATTTTTATTTGAAAAGCTGACTAAGAAACAAAGTGGTAATTTGGACTTCCCAAAAATAAACAAAGTCAGCTTCAAGAAAAGCAATTCTAATGATAAAATTCAAGCTTTCAAGCAAAACCTAGAATTTTTAGAAAACCTCTATCTGCCACTATGAATTTGACAGCTTTTCAATACTTAAAGATGTTTCTGATTAGATGGTGACAATAATGTGAATTTTTAATATTCTATAATCAAATGTCTACAGCTGCACAACCACTATTTTTCAAATGACCAATAAATACACTATATACAAATCATGCACAGTGAAAGACTTGTTCAAAGCGCAAGACAGTAAATATTAATGTAACAGAATATGGAAAGTTTGGTATGGTTTCAGATTCTACGCTGCAAATAATCATGTGCTGACTTTCAGTATAGTATTAAAGAATATCTACAATTATCTGGAAAGGCTATTAAAATACTGCTTTTTCCAGCTTGCAAACTGTCATCTAAATGCAACAACTGGTCTCACCTCATCCAGAGCAAAGAAGAATGAAGAAAACTAAAGATACATGGAAAAAATTAGTCCAACAGACTAGTAGACCATGCAATCTTCAGCCTACGTGACCCTGAGACCAGAAGAACTACATGGTGCCTGTCAACCACTCAGGGATCAAAAGAGATGATCCTGGAGAGAGTGGGAGAAAAATGTGGAACAAAATTCAAAATCATAAAAAAGACCAGGCTCAGTAGCCTGATAGAAACTGATGAAACCCCTAGTCACCCTTTGGATCTGGAATTGAACTCATTCCCATGGTTTCCAACCAAACAATAGATGTGTATAAGGTGAACATTTACACAGGTAAAGTATACTCCTTACAACAATCAACCATGGGAGATCAGAAGGGCAGTATTTATTCAGGGAGATAGCTCAGAAGGTAGAATGCACAGTAAAAGACACAAGGAAAAGGTAAGCACAGGGAGAAGTAGGAAGAGGGCTGTTACATTATGAAGAGCAATCAACTGTCACGAAACAAAATATGTATGAACTGTTGAATGCAAAATGAATTTGCTCTGTAAACTTTCACCCAAATCACTATTTAAGAAAAAAAGTCTGTAGACTGCAGACAAAATCTTGGCTCAGTGGGAACAACATTTTCACAATCATAATACATTCTGGATTTTCCTAAAAAACTGCTTTTTTCAACTATATATCTATGTGAATCTGGATTTTCTTCATCCACTTCAACTAAAACAACTTATTACAATATATTTAATACAGAAGCAAATAAGAAGTCAAGTGTCTTCCATTAAGTCTGACACTAAAAAGGTTCGCAAAATGTAAAAACTGTCATTCTTCTTACAGAACTTTTTACTTTTTAAAAGAGCTAGTTTTCATTTTTAAAATGTTACTTTTGTTATATCTAAGAAGTATGTTAGAGTTACTTTCAAACGAATTAATGTGTTTCTAGTTTTAAAGTTATAACTTCAAATACAGCAAATATTCACAGATATGGCCCACAAAACCTAGTAATCTTTAAGGGGGCAAAGAAGTCCTGACACCAAGAAATTTCAGAACTGCTAGCAAAGACACTCTGGAGTAAGACTGCCTAGGCTCACCTGCCAGCTCCATACAACTTCTTGGTTTTGTGATTATCAGTCAGTTATTTACTACACTGTTTCCTTCTCAGTAAAATGGAGATAAATACTAACCTCATAGGATTACCATGAGCATTACACAAAATGATACATGTAAAGCATTTGGAACCCAATAGTAAGTTGCTGTCCTTAAACAGTTTTCAATCAAATCAAACCATTCCTTTCTAATCTCATTAATCAAGCATTTGAGTGCCTCGACTCATCAAATGTTTGAGCTTTATAACACTTTTCTGGAATTTGTCACGTAAAAACTTTTCATCTTCAAACTTGTTAGAGCTTTATTATTTGGGGTCACCCATGAAAACACAAACTGCTGGATGACTACTAGCTCTTGCCAATGAGCTCCAATTATGAATACAGTTGCAGGATGAATGGAAAAATAAACACCTCAGATCATTTTCTTCAATCAATATCCTTAAAATTCAGCAGGCTGAAAAGCACTAACTCACACCTAAACTAACATCTTATTTAATTATGTGACAAAATTTTTTGAAACTGTTGATAGATTACTTACAGAGTCATGGGTGAGGTATGTATCGCAGTAGTCACAGTAAAACCTGAAAAAGGGACAAAAAAAGAGAAAATGACAACTCAGCTATTGGATGCCCGTCCATTGAAGCACTATCCACTGAAAGTAAGAAAAGAACATCCAATTTATTCACGATTCCAAGACGTCAAACAATGCGTCCCTAACAATCCAGGCTTTTTTGTTGCCTTAAGTGGGTCGACCTCTCCACTCAAAAAGGGGTGATTAGAGTGCCCCGTCTCCCTCTGTTTCCCCCGACCCTCTGTCTCCCCTAAAGCCCTCAGGAGCCAGAACCCGTTCTTTGCACTTCCATAGCGTCCAAAGTAGCAGCCGCGACCACTCCTCAGATTTCGGGTCCTTACTCACTTAGGCATGTTGCTCGCCTGGCCGTTGGCTGCTATATTCCGCCCCGCCCGGAAATGACGCGTACAACAAGGGCCGACGCCGCGAAAACTACGAGACTAGCGCAAAGGCTTCATAAGCCTGGACCGCCCACTCTGATACCCAAGCTGCGCTGCGACGCCATCTGTACAGCTGTTCCTTCTTCTCCCCTTTCACTTTTACCTATAAAGCGCGGAAGTGCTACGGGTCCTTACGAGGTTCATTAAACTAATTTAATCTTGATTTCTGGATGCTTTCGGAAGCATGTCATTATTGTTTAAATAATATAGATTGCTTGCTGTGTGCTGGGTACTGCTATGGATGGTGAGAAAAAAGCAGTGAACAAAACAGACAAGAATTCCTGCCCACATGGAGCTGAGATTCTAGTGGAAGAAGACAGATAATATGTAATAGATTAGATGACGCCACGTATTGTGGAGAGGGGAAAAAAAAAAAGCATGGAAGCAGGGAGTTCCATTGTAAATAACATGGTCAGGGAAAGCTTACCAAGAAAGTGAGGGTTAAATGCAAACCGTTTTACATAATCATCTTTTTTTTTTTTTATCATTGACCCCAGGAGGTAGTTGAACCGCAGATTTCAAGTCCCGTCTTAACGCTGCTTCCAAGGTATGCGTCTTGGGAAGTCATTTAACCTTTCTGAGCTTCAGTTTCCTCATCTGAAATATATGAGTAATAATTCTTATAAGATTTAAACTCAAAAAACCAAACTTACTGCTATCCAAACTCGCTTCCATCGAGTTAGATCTGACTCAGCAACTCTTCCTTGGGTTTCCGAGGCAGTTTCACTACGAAGTAGATTGCCCAGTCTTCCTTCCCAGGAGTGGCTGGTGGGTTTGAACCGCCAGCCTTCTGGCTAGCAGTCAAATGCCTTAGGCACTACACCACCAGAGCTCCCTGTAAGATTTAAGGGAGACTTAAATGAGACAATGTTTGCAGAATGTTTAGTACAGTGTCTGTACGTTCTAAGCCCTCCATCAATGGTAGTTACCTTGAGGAGCAAGGCCAAACTTCCAGCCTCCTCTGTCAGACTCTCAAAAAGGCCTACCTGCCCTCTTTCAGTAAAGGAAAATTTGTATTGGGAACTGGAGAGGAGGAGCTCTTGATTCTTCCACCCAGATTCTCTGATGGTGGATTTGTAACCAAAATAATAATTATCATTTTATGTGAATATTTACCATGTCTTAAAAAAAAACCAAAAACTCACTGCCATCAAGTCATTTTTGACACGTAGTGACTCCCATTTGGGTTTCCGGGGCTGTAAATCTTTACAGAAGTACACACTGTATTCCTTCTGCGGAGCAGCTGGTCGGTTTGAACTGCTGACTTTCCAGTTAGCAGTCAAGTACCTTATCACAAGGCCGCCAGAGCTCCTTTACTATGTCTTGTTGTTGTTGTTGTTATGTGCTTTCCAGTCGGACAGACTCATAGCGGCCCTTCCTTGGGTTCCGAGGCAGTATCAGTAGGGAAGTAGATTGCTCCATCTTCCTTCCCAGGAGTGGCTGGTGGTTTTGAACCACCAGCCTTCTGGTTACCAGTCAAGTGCCTTAGGCACTACACTACCAGAGCTCCTTTAAAAGAACCCTGGTGGCACATCATGAGGATGCTAATAGAAAGGTCTGTGGTTAGAACATACCAGCAGCTCTTCAGAAGAAAGATGTGGCAATGTGCTTCTATAAAGAAAAAAACCAAACCCACTGCTATCAAGTTGATTCTGACTCAGGGACCCCCTTTGGGTTTCCAAGGTAGTAAATCTTTACAGAAGTAGATTTTCCAGTTTTCCTTCCACAGAGTGGCTGATGGGTTTGAACTGCTAACCTTGGTAGTCAAATGCCTTAGGCACTATGCCACCAGGGCCTTGGAAACCCAGTGGGGCAGTTCTACTCTGTCCTATAGGGTCACTATGAGTCAGAATGTACTCAATGGCAAGAAGTTTAAGGGGAGGCACTTTAAATGCATTTGTTGATCTGCTCAATCACCCCGTTAGTCCTATTTACAGAAGAGGAAAGTGAGCTTTAACAAGGTTAAGAGTACCACAAAAACTACATTCTGGTTCAGGGAAAAAGTTAATTGTATAGTGAAGTTATTAGGTTTTCTGTACCATCATGCATTATTTAATCTTAGCATCATTAATGGTGGAACAACCAGATATTGTGTGTCTTCTGCTGCAATGCCAACATTAAGTTTACAGCATCAACTATGATTGAACTCCCTACTTCCCTGCTTCATTTTTTTTCTCTATAGCACTTGGCTTTATTTAATCTAATTTGGTATTCTTACCAAAGAAATTAGTTTGAAATCTAATCAAGTTTATAGGACTGAATAGATGATCAAGCTAAAGAAAAGCAAAAGGCAGCAAACTTTATCCTTTCCCCAAAAAATCTTCCAGCACAATTACGTTTGTTACGTTTGTCTGTGAGTTTGCACCTCTCCTGGTACACTTGTACATCTTGTAGACTAGGGTTGCCAGATAAAGTACGCACCTCCCAGTTAAATTTGAAGTTTGGATGAACAATGAATAATTTTTCAGTATAAGTATAGTTCATGGATTTTTTTTCTTTCTTTCAATCTGGCAACCCCACTATAGGATACTGCTTGAATGATTCCTTTTAGAAGGATCAGCCCAAGGCTGGTCCCTATGAGGTGGATGTTAAAGATGTTCCAAATGTACAGCTTTTCCAAACTGCTGCATCACTCCATCATCTTTAACATCAACTACTACTCCTCCCCTGAGTATTCTTCCTCCCATCTTAAAACCACTAAACCACTGCCATCGGGTCAATTCCAACGTATAGCAACCCTATAGGACAGAGTAGAACTGCACTATATGATTTCCAAGGCTGTGAATTTTTACAGAAACTTCATCTTTTTTTGTTTGTTTTACTTCCTCATCTTTCGTAGAGTGGCTGGTGGTTTCAAACCATTGGCCTTTTAGTTAGCAGCTAAATGCTTTAATCACTGTGCCACCAGAGCTCCTTTCCTCCTTAAAGTTCTTTAATTTGTTATTCATTGTACTATCTCACAGAAATCACAAACCATCAAGGAAATGGCTCACACAGTTGTGGAGGCTGGCAAGTGCCAAATCCATGGGTCAGTTGTTAGTGGAGATTCTTTTCACTCACCTGGTTACAGGGGCGAACAAACCCAAATCAGCAGGTCAGATGACTAGCTGCTGCCTCAAGTCCCAAGAACTGATGATCAGATGATGACAAACCACGTGCAGGATTCAGAGCAAGAAAGCGAACTTTGCCAGAACATTCATATATTTTGGATGCAGACCATACCCTCAAGGAAACTAAGGATGGTAACTTGAGTCACACTATCTAGTAAGGCAGTGACTCTAGATACAAACCAACCTAACCCTGCCTCATTAACAGAGTAAAAAACTCACTCCAAAATGGGACCATAACCACAGGCATAGAGGCTAGGATTTACAATATATCACAAAATGGAGGACAGTGGCAATAAGGGCCATCTTGAGGAATTCACTGTACCACAGACACTATTATAAAGGACTAGTAGTGCATAAAGAGCTCTGGTGGCACAGTGGTTAAGGCATTCAGCTGCTAATCAAAAGGTCAGCAATTTGAACTCACCAGCCACTCTGTGGGAGAAAGATGAGGTAGTCTGCTTCTGTAAAAAGTCACAGCATTGGAAACCATATGGGCAGTTCTACTCTGCCCTATAGGGTTGCTGTGAGTTTTGACTTGATGGCAGTGAGTTGGGTTTGGTTTCTTTTAGTTGCATGTACCAAAATCTGAGTTAAGCTATCTTAGACCACTAGAGAATGTAGAGTCTCAGAAAGCTAGGATGTCTAATGGTAGATTTATCTTTGGATATGGTTGATCCAGGACCTCAAATAATGTCAAATGGTCTCCTCTCTCCATCTCACCCTTGCCTGTTTGCTTCTTTTTATATACTGGCCACATCCTCTCACACTGTAGCCTGGATTCCTTTACACAACTAGATGAGGCAGGTAAGACAGCCTCAAATATCTCCACGCTTCCATTCTCTTAGCAACATAATGCCAAAAGCCAAAAAGGGGCCTGACTGACCAGGATTGGGTTGAGAGTCATCCCTAAGTGGGGAGGAGTGGGAAACTGCAATCACCAGTCCCTCTCAAACTTCAGGGAATGGAGTACCTAAGAAGACTTGGGGGAGTACTGATTTCAAAGACGTACGGGAAAGTATCCTAGGCCAAAAAAGGTGTGTACCGCTGCCACCATTGGTCATGCCTAGCCTAGTTTCTGAAGCCAGACTTGAAGGAAATGCCAGTGTAAGGTGGTAATTTCCACTAACATCACTAAAGCTTGGTGCTTAAAAACCCACTGCCATTGAGCAGATTCCCACTCATAGCAACCCTATAGGACAGAGTAGAACTGCCCCATTGGGTTTCTAAGGTTGTAAATCTCTGTCAAAGCAGACTGCCTCATCTTTCTTCCACAGTACGTTCAAATTGCCAACTTTTTGGTTATCAGTCAAATGCCTTAGCCACTGCATCAAGAGAACTCCTTTCAAATGTTTCTCCAGATGAAGATCGAACTCACAACTTCAGTATCCCTCATACACGTACTGCTATGTATGTACCATGCACTAATCAGTTGTGCATAGTGCCTGTAAACATGGCATGGTGAGGGTGTCTAACCTCTAAGTTCACAAGGGGAAAGGAGGTCAAGATCAACAGCCCAAGGCTGATTCCTATGAAGCAGAGATCAGACATACCTTCTCTTTCTAACCTTTTTACCAAATCTGACACCAGCTGTCCCTTCCACAGCATTCTGTATTTCTCTACTGAGTTCTGCAATTCATTGCAAGGGCCATACACAACTCAGACAATACTCATGATTATGGAGTTTATGAGGGAAGTAACAGGCTATAATTCTGGATCAGGCAAAACTCAGGATATAATTCTTCAGTCAGGACAGCTTGGCCATCCCCATAGGCAGGCTTTCCCTGGCCCTCAGTCTCTCAGCCCCTTGAGCCTCTTGGG